ATTTTTTAAAAAAAGATAGTGTTGATGTACAATTTTACAATTTTATTAATTTTGAGTATTTTTAAGTTTCATTAATGACTAAACATGTAATTTATAGCAATATTTTTATAAATGCATATTAATGCTAAATAAAGTGTACAATGTTTAAAAAAAATTATTATGTAAAATTTTAATATATAAAAAATATTATAATAATAAGTATACTATTATAATAATAGATATTAGGCATTTCAAGTATTTAGGTTAATTGTATATTTATAATATTTAGTTTTGAAAAACACATAATTTATATAGGATCATATAAAGTAGTGCATTTTATATATCAGTATGTTGCACTTCATAAAATAACACGTTGCACCTTATAAAATAACATGTTGCACTTTATTACAAGAATCCACAATCAAGCTCACGCGCAAACTATCACACACCATAAATCCAAAAAAAATAAAAATAGATATACATAATATTTTAACATCAATCACATCATTTATCCACACAACCACAAACATGTCTAACGGACCGAAATTACAGTAGTTCAATTTATACATCAACATGTTGCATTTTAGAAAACAACGCGTTGCACTTTACAAAACAATGTACTGCACTTTATCACGACTATCAAGTTGCATTATGAGGTTGCATGACAAATATAGAAATTGACCGAACTAAATTTTTTCAGCCAAACATAATATAAAAATAAAAAAATAAAAATATAAATTTATTGAATATAATTTTAATAAAAATAACCAATTATTTCGATTATTTATGATTAATCGGTACCGAACAAAATAAACCAATTAGTTACGTTCATTTTAAATTTGATTTTGGACAAAAGTTCAGTTGGTTTAATACGCACAACACAAACCGACAACATGTATTTGAACTTCAATCACATCGTTTATCCACACGAACCACGAACATGTCTAACGGACCAAAATTATAGTAGTTTACTTTATACATCAACACGTTGCACTTTATAAAACAACACGTTGCACTTTACAAAACAACTCGTTGCACTTTATCACGGCTATCGGGTTGCATGATATATATCGAAACTGACGGAACTAATTTATTTTTTAAGGCAAACATAATATAAGAAATAATAAGTAAAATTATCAATATATTAAATATATTTTAATATAAATAACAAATTATTCCAATTATTTCTGGTTATTCGGTTAACCGAAAAATAAACTAATTAGTTACGTTCATTTTAAATTTAATTTGGGACAAAAGTTCGGTTGGGTTACTACGCACAATACAAACCGACAGCATGCACCATATTGATGGACGACCTGCACTTTAATAACTGTTAGATTGCACATTATATTTTGTTTACATACAAAAAATTTTAATTAAAATTAATATAAAATTTCAAATAAAATAATATTAAATACTAATTATATTTTCTATAATAAATAATATAAGTAAAGCCAATCATTTTTGTTATTTATATTAACGGACAAATTAAGCGATTATGTCGGGCATTTTAAAACACTAAATGTGTTTTTTAAAATATAAAATAATAACTGGTTATTATGTCTAATTATGTTAACGAACCGGATAAACCAATTATCTCAGTTCAATATTGATTTGGTTGTGACAAAAAAATCGGTCGCTTCAATTTTCTAAAAGTTTGACATGGTTATTTTAATTTTGATATTTTATTTTTTAAATTTTCTTAACCAACATGATCAATATATTGCATTTTATTACTTGAAATTTTAATGTGCACTCAAACACACTATTATGCATTTTATTTGTCATTATTATGCATTTAGTCCCGTTGCCACAAATCTGATAAGGAAATTGACACCTTACAAAACTCTTCCAAAAGGACCAAAGGTCCAAAACGACTAAAAATATGAAAAAGAAAAAAAGAAAATACACCACATGCTGCAATAACCATCATCTCATTCATCTGGAGATAATAGGACAAAAGAACAACATGAATGAGTAAAATACTTCAATAATTTCCTTTCACAATCTTCCTAAAAAAAATAATTTATAAATTTACTGTAATCAAAATTAAAAATATAGATTATATTTTAAAAAATTGCTCAAAGACCCTATACCCTGTCTAATTTACAGAAACCAAACCCAATAAAAGAAAAACATGTCGCTGCCAAATTACAATTTCCGGAACCACCGTTAAGCCGCCTCTTCCTGCCGTCAGCATTATCAACACAACACCATCCACGACGGCAACAGCCAGCAGCTGTGATCACAACCCGCTGACGCGACCAATAAGCCCCAAATCACAACCCCTAAAAAATCCACCAATCATCACCACAAAATCTCCGCCGGAGTCCGTATCAGTCCATCCTCACCGCCTGCTGCCAGTCCTTCCAGAACCACGTTGCCGTCGGCGCGACTAATAAGCCCCAAATCACAACCCCTAAAAAATCCCCCAATCCTTACCACTGTCAAGTTCCCGCCCGCCTGAGTCCCCTTTAGTCTACCCACACCGCCGCCAGCCCTTCCCAGGACCACATCGCCGCCGCCGAGGACAACAAAGACAACAACATCATCCATCCTCGCTGTGACGACGACGAAAATCAGTTTGATTCATCGCCGGCACTTTCTCCATCTTCATCGGACGTCGTGAGACGTATTATTTTCGATCGATACACCGGCGGACGATGATTGTCGGAAGGTCTCGGCTGAGATCGAGACGCCGACGACCGTTATCAGAGAGAGAGAGAGAGAGAGAGATCGCAGTTTGGGAGAGAGAGAGCGAAGAAAAAAATGAGTAGGAGAGAGATAGAGTTGCCAGGGTATGTAATTACGATAATGTCCTCTGACTAATATAATTTACCTTAATGTTGCCCTAAATTACGAATATGCCACCATTTAATTTCTGCGTGGGCAATAATCCTGACACATCTTGACCATTAATATGGCAGATCTTGTGGTGTATATTTGTTCTCATTTCTTTCACTATCTCCCTTTCTCATATGATCCTTTCTCTATATATATATATATATATTGAAAATAAAAATTTGCAGCTCGTAAAATATGTATATTCGACTTTTGAAACCTAAAATATTCTAAACTTATAGTACATTTATATGTCACAACATCCGACCTAAAAATCAGAGAATTTTGTCTTGTGTGTTTGTTCCACATTGATTTCACCAAAGGGGAATTGATAGGTTGGCAAGTATACATACGATCACGAAGAGTTTTTCGAATGTCTCACCACCCCGCCTTATCTAACTGGACTCACGAAAAATTGGGCAAAATTTTCGCGATTGTTTTCGAAAGATACTAGTACTGGTATCGAAAAACATTTAAACTTAACTGACTTGCGGGATGCTACTTATTTTACTGACGTGACTTATTATTCTTTCTTTTACTTA